GTCCCTCACTCCTACGGAGTGCTTTAATTGACATGGCAAACTTGTAGTTGTTCACACAAACTTAAAATTGCCAGTGCAATGCAAATCAGTATCCAGCAGGCATTTGTAGAAGTGTGCTTCTTCCAGGCCCCTCAACTCTTCCCAACTCGCTTACAAAAGCCTACTGTTGCATATCCCAAAGGCTGCAGGGCTTTCAACAGTATAATGTGTGGAAAATGACAGCAATTATATGCTATATGCTTTTCAGCATGGCTAGCGCCAGGCTGCATGGCAAATTAGAGAATTACTGTCCAAGAAGGGGTGAAAGGCGAGTTTTGAAGAGCAGTTTTCTTATTCAAAATAATATACTGTCACTGCTTAGCCATAAGCATGTGGTATACACTACCTGTTTTGCAGTTTGGACATTCACAAACCTTTTGACTTTTTAATTTAGTTTTTCAGCAAATTTTATAGACATTCAAGAGAGAATGGCAGCTGTAATGCAGCTAGCAGCATAACTTAATTATTTCACAGGTGTTTCCTGTAATTCTCAATTATCACATAGTTTATATTTACAGTATCCTTTTAGAGCAAAGTGAATTGAAATGCCCACATCAGAGGTATTACTTCTTTTTCCAAAAAGAAATTGTTTCCAATCAACACGCATCTCAGCAAGGTAATTGAGTTTAGTATTTTTGTGGGCTACAGTTCTTTATCATAATCATCTGATAATATCATTCTGGAATAAGATATGCAGCCCCTAAAATGGGATACATCTTAAAATATAAATATATAAAAATATTAAATATTAAAAAATCTAAAAAAATATTACAAGCACAAAATTGGACCATATTATGACACTTAACATTTTCATTGCATACAGATATATCTAAGTGATGACACACAGTAGAACATTTATATTTTATAGAAAGATGAGCTTCAGTTTGTAAATATGACAGGGGGGATGCTTTATCTGCCAGAACTCCACAGTTCAGTGGTCTAAAACACCTTCTGCCACTGGAGTTTCTACTCCAGTTAATGCTGTTCTCTCAGAGTTGAAAATAAACAATGCATTTTGCCACCTATCCGCGCTGTGTTTCTTATAGGGAATTCTATTGTTAGAGTAGCTCAAGGCTACTGACACATGCCCCTCACTCCAAGTATACCCGGAGAAAAGTTGGGCAAAAGCACTTCCAACATGGAACACTTAATCAAAAGACGTGCAACAAACGCAACTCTGTTTGGCAGGGATTCAAACTCTGACCTGAGTTCACAGATTCACATGTGAATGTGTGAGAGAGAAAAGGAGAAAAAGAACGTGTTATATGTGTTGGTGCCAAGACTTTAAGTAAATTTATTCTTCTGTAGCTAATTAATGTGTGTTGGAAGAAGACCTATGTGCATAAAGAGGAGGTTGTGTGTTTTTGATGTTCATAAAAATAGTGGGATGTTTGCCTCATGTCTAATTCAGATTCGCAGTTGTCAAATGTAACTGAAAGACGGGACAGCTGGTGAACAGAGTTGTTGGAATCTTTAAACACATCAGGCCTCATGCAAGACATTCTCTTACTTTTTTGCCTTTATTTCGGATTGGATAGCTGAAGAGAAACATGAAATGGGGGAGAGAGAGAGGTGGTGACACGCAGCAAAGGGGCCACTGTGGTAAGGAATCGGGCTAGTACATGGGGTGAGCTTACTGCCACCCCTGAAACATAAGCATTCTAGCATGCTAAATAAAGATGGGACACATATCTGCTAAACACCAGCATGCCAGCATTGTCAGTTATGAGCATGTTCGTTAAAACAGAAAAAATGCATATAAAAAGAAATTATGCTCACTCCTCATCCTTCCCACAACTTAATTTACTCTTTTCCTTTCACCCACTCTTCCTCCTCTAAACATATTAGCATAAATAATGTGATCATACAATATATTTTAATGCAAGGATTCATGGGACTTTTCCAATGTGCACACTTTAAATCACTCACCCAGTCAGTTTCTCCCTGAAAACCTTCAAAGAAATGCGTCTTCACCCCAATTCATGCATGCACGCTTCAAACTCACAATACAGACATAACGCCTCCACACACAGGCGTGGGCATATGTGTGCATAGACATGCACGCATATGCTGTGCACACACTCTAATCAATTCCCTCTAGATGAGATTAACCAATCTCTCGTCAATATGCTTCATTAAACAGATAACATGTGAAGCACACACTTTGTGTGCAGGAAGCTGTATTCTCCAGTGGGCACAGACAAAGATACGTGAAATGTTGTATTGTTTCTTTAGACAATACATTACATTACATTCATCCTTCATGATTGAGTACCTCTCTATAAACATCACATGAGATTACTGACAGTTAATTGCTGCCTAAAAAAATCTAGACAAGCCACATCCTCTCATCTCTCATTTAAATTCTCTTCTCTCCTCTCTTCTCTCTTTTCTATTCTTTGATCTTTGCAGTCACCTGGTTTTCGCTTTCTCTTTATCCAGCACCAAACCAAAGCACTGAAGAAGAGATTGAGCTTCAATAGAATTTCCATGGCAACAGATTTTCAATCATACCTCTCCAATCACGTTACTGTGGCAGTTCGTCCAGGGAGAGCTGAATATGATCTGGTTTAGCCTTTGATCATGATCCCACTGATCTTTCAGTCAAACTGATATCATACTGTATCAGCTGACCATCTCCATTATGCACTTGATTTGGATAGTTTAGATATTTTTCTCTGTCTATTTCAAACACTGAGACCAGACTCAGTTTTGCAGCTATTTGCATTTTGAGCTTCAGGCATGTATAAAAGTCATGCTGATGTTTTGGGGGCTTTGTTACCTGGTGGTTTTGTGAACTTTATGGCATGAAATGGCAGAGCATTTATGTGTGTTCACGAAGCAGAACAGCTGTTTTCCAACTAACCTCCCATATCCGCTTGCCTGTAGTTGCCGGTTCATTTCTCACGTTGCAGTGCCTCGGTCTCGCAGAGCCTGCAGCCCCTCACTCGTAACATGAGCATGAACTTGCCCACAATTGAGACTACTGACATTTAGTGTTGTCACAAACAGTGCATTTTCCCCATTCACCCCTGAGACCTCGTCTGTGTAATTTAGTTCCACCGACAAGATTCCATCACTCCTTATTTTCTTAGATTAAAGAAAGTATCAGTCAGTGTTATTGTCATTATTACATTTGCTTGGTCCTAGGAGACTCTACTTCCTCATTTAGTGCAGATAATAGTATCTTTTTGAAAAATATCCAAGGGTGTGTTGGTATGCTGGCTAAGTTATTACAATTTCCAATAATTCAGGTTGAAATGTATGTAGAATGGATGTTCAAGTCAAATGAACAAGCTACACATCTTTGTTAAGTCTGCAAACACGGGGTATTATCATTACTTAATCTAATTAATTGCACGGTTACACACATATCCCCCACACAAATAAATTGTCATATCACAAATAATGATATATCATAATCTTAACACCAATGCTATCTTCAGAAGTGCAATTAGCATGGAATTTGCCATTTCCTCCTCCTGACCCACCCACGGATCTTTAATAAGATATAGCAGATATTTGCCAATGAGACACTGAGATGCTGTGTCTTTACACGGATAATTAGCTAGATTGCTCATTAAACAATTAGTCAGATATTTGTCTGATAGTCCCTGCGGTTTGCTTGCACTCCATTCCGATGTTTTGTCTGACATTTGCAGATATTATTCATCTGTTAATTGAAGCTTTCAGACAAACAACTAATAAAAGTCAGCTTAAATAGTTGAATAGCAAATGCGCTTTCAGTTGAAGAGTCAGTCTAAGTCATTCAGTCTGTGTTTTTTCAGCATGACCAGACTGTGAATTTGAATTACCTCTGCTGTGGAAAATTAGTGTGAAGCATGCCACATTTCAAGTTGCTGCTTTATTTATTTAGCCCTTAATCAAAAGTAAGTCTCAATAGACTTGAAGGTTTCATTATGCTTAAACCAGAGTGCATGTACAATGGTCGAACAGCATCTGAAACCCCCTCGTTCCTGTTAGAATTTGGAGAAGTCAGCAGGGTTTGTACTTCTCGCTCAAGCTCTCATTTTTTCAGTGTTCACACAATTACTTTAGTGACGTTTTGTGCAACATAGCGAACGCCTTCAATGAGAGAATAACCGAAAATGTGCACTGTTATCCCCATCCAAACAATTATCATGTCTCCCCCCTCTCTATGACGGCAGGCTTTTCACTCTGCCTTCGAGTGTGGCCATTCAGTGCAGCTGTAAACACTTCGTGGTCAGAGAACATTTCACATGAGCATACTGACATCTTTAAAGATCTCTATCTGATACTAGTGTGAACTGTGAAACAGGACATTTAATCAGTGTTGAAAATAAATCACGTTCTTTTTTGTACCTAAACATACAGTATTTTGGATACAGTACGTCAAAGTCCATGAAAGTTTTGAGTGAGTCTTAACTTCTTTTCAGATTGGCCATTTTGCTTCCTGTTTAACAAAGTGTCTTAGTGTCCTCTGCGCTAGTGGTGTTGGCCATGCCAAGCTGACAATAAAAATGAACTGTAACACATGTATATGTTTATGTATGTGTAGTGATTGGAATGTAAAAGATGGGACTTTCTTTGCTGCAAAGCTAAGCTAACCATCTGCTGGCTGCAGCTTCATAACCCATTAGTTAATGAAGCTGAAAGTGATGTCTGTCTTCTCATCTTTTTTTTTTTAACTATTCCTTTAGGAATTCAAAAGATATTCTTCTGCATTTGATTTTTGGTCAACATCATTATCCAGTAAATATCTTTTAGTCAGTTTCTTGTCCATTGGAACTGATGATCAATAGATTAAGCAAGTCACTGGGAAGTATTTTAATGTTTATTACTCTGGAATGGAGCTCAAATATTAACTTTGCCTTCATCCCACCTCCTTCTTTCACCCCTTTGCATTGTCTCTCTCTTTGTTCCTCTCCCTTTTATCTCCCTCAAACCACTCCTTCACCTCTCTTTCTCTCTTTCTACAGCAGAGCCGTTGGATGGAGAAGAGTACCTAGACATTATAGGTATCATGCGAAACCAAGCGGGTCGTTATGAATGCAAGGCCAGCAACGACGTCGCCACGCCTGATGTCAAATATGTCAACGTGGTTGTCAACTGTAAGTAACGGCCAACAGCCACACTGAACACCGATCAACATTCTCACCACGTTTCATGTCAGACGTTTCACAAGATGAGACACTCAACAGATAAAAGCCTATAAAAGTCAAGATTGGAGTGTGGTGATAGTGACATGTAGAATATGGTGTGGCAATGAGTGAAGGCTGTGGAAGTTGAAACTTGAAAGTTTTGGAGCACCCTTCAGTCTTCTCAAGGCGGATCCAGGTAGAGAGAGAAAGATCTCTAACTTTGATTGCAACTGCCACTTCCATGGTAATTCTCACATACCACATCGTCATTTAAGAGACACTTAGCATTTAAAAACATGATCACCTAATTACATCTTGTCAGGGCTCCATGTTAGATCTGATGAGTGTAATACATGTGGAGGCTGTTCCGGATTGATGAGCAGCTCAAGAGACATCACAAACCAACTACCTCCCAGAGGAGTTATAGAATTCTTTTGATCAGTACAATTCACGAATGGCTGTTTGCCCAAACCGCACTTTAGCCAAGGCTGAGTGCCTGAATTAAATGATAAAGATTTCTACATTAAACCATTTCTTTGTGTTTAATCCTAAATGGAAAACGGACATTAATCCACATCAGGCATATTTTTGGCCACTGTGATGTTTGTAGAAATCATTATGTATGAAAGATGATGTTTTAGTATTGATTACTTTTTAAGTCAATCCCCAAAAAAGATATCTTTTACACTGGTTATTGGGGCTTGAAGGCCTTAAACAAGAATTCAATTTTACACCACAGAATGTAACACAAAGAAGAAACTTTCAATTCCTTGAGCTTATCTAATATATTTGTTTGGTTGGTTTGTTTGTTTGCTTTTATCAGTGAGATTCAATACAGAGCATTTGTGAAAGTGCTTTTCTTCTGTCCCATGCTTGTATCAGTTACCTTATTCAGACATTCCTAACAAAAATACATTTTTTTCACTTGTTAGGAAAAGAAAATACGTACATTTTTCAAAGAAAAACCAAAAGAAAACAATGCCAAATGAAATGATTTTATTAGGGAGGTTTGGTTATTAAAGATGTTATCTGTGTCAACATTCTGTGCCTCTGCAGATCCTCCAACAATAAAGAAAACCCAGAGCTCAGAGACTCAAGTGGGCCGCATGGGGACATTGCAGTGTGATGCCACCGCTGTGCCCACACCTGAGTTTGAATGGTACAGAGATGAAAAAAGGTAAACACACATTTACACATTTACACATTACATTCAACCCCCCCCATACACACACACCAGTGTCACAAATGGACACCTGTACAGAGCTGCATATGTCAGATCTTGGTTCATATGGACATGGTGAAACGACAAAACATTTTAATTTTAATATTCCATTCTGTAACATGACACTTCAAGATCAGCTAACCTTGAAAAACCAGTGCAACTGCGCATTTTTGTGAGCTAAAATACACAAGCTGCATACAAACAGCCAAACAAGACATTAAATAGAGCGCAAGCCATCGTCTCAACTGTGTAGAAGCTTCTCTATTACTGTAATGATCTCCTGTAATGTTTCCAGCACGGAAACGTTTTCGACCTCACATGTCAGATTACTGGAAACAACAACAAGTCTTTGAGAAAAGCCTTATAACAGTTTGTATTGCAATGTTGGAGTACCAGAGCTTATTATGTTCTTCCCTTTTTATTTTGGTGGAAGATCTGTGACTGCCGATCAGTTAGTCCTGCTGGTGACATGCATGTGATGGTAGGTTGCAGAAACCCTGAACTGAGTCATGGAGCAAACTTGATTTATGTTTTACCACCATTACAAATAAAATCAGGCAAAATAATGAGATTTACATTGAATTTACTTAGGCATGACCATGGCAGCTGTAAAGAGGCTCTGCTGTTTTCGCTTATGAGCACAATTAATGAGCAATTAATGAATAGCTTTGCTTTTTTAAATTAAACATCATATTGAACACTCTTCCCTATGCAAGTATTTGGTGAATACTGTATGAGCACCAATCTCTGAGCTGTCTGCAAAAAACAGGACTACACTGAGGTCCAGCCTTTCATCTTTCAATGAGCATTCCCTTTTCTTTTTTTTTTAATGACCTGGGTCAGAAGCACTGTACATCCTTTCTCCCAAATGTGGAAGCAGCTTCATCACTTTATTCTTGTGCCAGCCATGCTCCGTATCATTTTACTCTTTGATCCCTTTATCAAATCTGCCCTCAAAGGGGTCCCATTGTCACATCCCAGTGTTAATTTGATGACATCATTTGTATAGTTTGATAATGACTAATCACCCACTTAATCACACACTAGGCAGTCATTCCATTGGTAATTGAGCATTACTGTGTAAGGCAGCAGTGGATTCTGTGAGAAGAGAAAGCGGAGAACAGATCAGGTGTTCTCCTGCATGTAATTTATATACTGTAGTCACCGAAAAATCTCGGTAACCCCTTTCTCATACCACCAGTAATTCCAGTGAAATAGAAATCATCACTGCACTGTACTGTCTCCTGTGAAATTGCACGTTCTGTGACCATACACGGATGTTCATTGGAAAGCTATCAATTTAAGTGTCATGCATGTGTCTGAAAAACACTTGAAGACAATTGAAGTGTAATGACATTCAAAGGCAACAGCAAGCCAGTCCCTCCATTTCAACACTTGTCATTTAATAACCCGAGATTCCCTTCTCTGCAGCAAGTTCACCCCCTGAGTCACTTTGGGAATGGATGGGGCTTAAATAGAAAAAGCTAATGATAAGACAGTTGCACATGCAGAGCATCATGATCTGCAATATCACCCGCACCCAAACTACAGTAGTAAAAGTTCACTGAAGATTGGGAGAAATATTTTGGAGGAGTGTCACAAGTGTTATCACAGATATGGTCTCTAAAGTAATAGCCCTATCACGCCAGTGCTTGAAAAGAAAGATTTATGGTCGTTGAAATATTTTGCATTATCTGTTGTTTCCAACCTCCATCTATCTCAGTTGTTTTGTCCCCTAGAGGGTTTTGGCTATGTGCCCCTTCTCTGTGCCAGTGGAATGTGTTATTGCACTTTCTCCTTGGATGGTGATGTTAATGCACCATAATAATATAATTTATCCTTGCTTGGCTAGTTAATTTCATAGTCCCCTCCCCAAGAATCAAAGCTAATGCACTGTAGCCTGTTGTTTCCTATTTACCTGATAAGGTGGGGTCTTGCTCCTGCGCTCGTTTCACTTTTAATTAGCTTAACCTCATCAGCAAAACAGTTATCAGTGAACACCCTGAAATCTGCATTTAAATCTCAAAGAGATAATGTTGGTTACGGTTGCACAGCAAGCTTGCCATTCTCACGTGGCACATTTACTGTGACAATGCCAGATTTGGCGCTTGAAATTCTTAGTCATTTAAAAAAAATAATCATATGCACTTGATGGCCACATACATGATATTATGCTATACACTTTTGAGGCTAAAGCTGCATGCACAAGGCCAAATGTCAGCATTAGAGGTGTTCAGTACATGTACGAACAAAACTGAATCACCATTGCCACTGACCGAATCAGTAGCTCTTAGCAGTGGAGCTCCCTTCACTGGAGACTGAGAGCACCGTTGGTCAGCTGCGATTCACAGTACATTACTTCCTCATTAAAAACATATTAAAAGACATTGACAGCCACAGAAACAATCATAATCTGATAACTATGTGGTAAATAATAGGCTGTGGAGTTATTAACCTTACAAACAGTTCTTGTATGGGCTAGTTTTGTTCTAAGCTGAATGAGACAGCTTTGCACAGACTGAACGTACTACTGAAGTGCATTTCAGCAGTGATGCAACCGCTCAGCTCACTTGGAATCTGGAAGTAAACTGAACAAAGTGATTCGAATCAGCATCATAAACATAAAGAAAAAATTGTGTTGTGTGTGTTGTTCCTTTGTGTGACCTGCCATGCCTACTTGCTGTTTGTGGTGTAGCCTGGCCAGAGTGGCTAGGAAGGTGGTAGGTAGGCAGACTCAAACATCATATGTTCGCAGAGGTGATTATTTTATTTACAGTGGTCTGCAGTACACGGATAATTCTATTCAAACAAACAAAAAGACTTACAAAAAATAACGCATCAAACTTGTAGCAACGCTAACAAAAGGCAAGTGTTCACAGCAGCACAGCCTCACCTCTTTCTCCTTGGGAACACAAGTTTATATAGGGCGGTCAATTCACACCCAACTGCTTCAGCCCATCCCATTTTGATCCAGGTTGATCTACTCCATAACGTTACTATCTAGACGTCTCTTAACATTTGGAACATAGTTACCAGTTCACTCCACTCTCACTGCCTACAAAACAGGTCAGGGTTATTCACACATTTATTTATAATAATCAGTGATGTCATCCATGACCACCCTGTTCCTATAAAACAGGAAATGCTTAGGCTGACCCCTCCCCAAACAATTATTCTGCATTGGGGAACTGAACAAAGGAACAAACAATTGTAAGTATTAACACAGGAAAACAATTAAACCAGGTTTAAACTTGCAACCTAATAAAATGGAGCTGAAACTAACTTATGACTATGTGTTTACTCTAACTTACCATATGCTTTGCTGTCGACTGTAACATAATGCAAACACAAACAACCCGGGATAGTAAGTGGTGCACTTTTACACAAGCTATGGTAAATTACAAAAAAAATAAACACTTATGTGTATAAACTAGACGGTAATGGCCTGTATGGGACAAGTGGTGAGCAAACCCACTTCATCACGCTGTTGTTAAGCTATTATTGGACAATTGCCGTTCGGGGGAGGGGTTTTAGTGAACAGCCAAGGGGCTGCAGTACTTTTGGAATACTGCATTATATGTATGAAAAATGAAATATAGTTCTATAAACGGTTATGGAGTCAGTTGGTAGTGTAGCGACACATTCTGATTGGCCAGAATCAGTTAAAATAAAATACTATTTTTTGTCTATTTTCATTCATATTAGCTGTGTCATTACCACTGAATCAGACCTTGAAAACTAAAGACCCCATTTTTAAATTAGAACAAGCCATTTCACAGGGTTGACATGTTGGCAGTGAAGGAGTCAAAACAAATCCCTTGTCTGCTGAAACATAACAAACCAGAGGTGTGGTTGCACCATTACAGGTGACACTTGCACTAACATTTGACAAATTAACACCTTTCACCTGCTCTGGTCATACTGGGGAAACACATTTAAAGTGAGGAGACAGGGGAAAGTGTTAGAATTGAGGGATTTGAATTGTTAATTCTCATTATTTCAGCCTCAAACGCTGCACCTTGATCATTTCTACATTTTTAGAAGTACAGTTAAGCTTTTTTGAAGTTTTCTGATTATCTTTGGTCCTTTGTTGAATTAAACATTCTTTTATCCCTTTTAACTTTATTTTCATAAACAAACTAAACTGTCATGTGTCACATTTTAATTACTGATACACTTCAGATGCAGGATTTATCTTTTCAAGTCTCACTGTAGCCTATTTGACATTGATTAATTGTTTTCCTTAATCCCCCTTATATTTCTTGCAACTTTTGTTTCTGATTGGTTTATGTGAGGAAATGAATTAGTGTTTAAACTGGTCCTATACCCCAAGTACAGTATGCAGTTTTTTTTTTAATAGTGTGACAACCCCGCACATTTGAAATGAAACCTTGCCTCTTGGTACAGACCTGTTAATTTTGGCAACTTCCAATCTTTAATATAATTTCCTCTTGGTGGGTTGTGTTACCCCAAAACAAACCACGTTCTTGGAATGGAGAGTTTTCTAGTACCAAGTTCAAAAAGCACCATTCTCACCTGCCCAAACCAACCAAACTGAGAGAGTAAACACAGTTTGTTCCAGAGTTCGAATAATTTGCTTGGCACAAGCTGGTGAACATAAAGTGGGCAGCAGAGCTTGCTCTCTCTTCTCCTCTGACTAGAGAGGCTTAACTCACCTAGCCTTATATCCGTCCTCCGTCAGTCTGATAACCTGAAAAAGTGGAGTGCTTCAGCTGATTAAACAAATTATCCTCTTAAAAGTAATTGAAACCTAACTTTACAGCATCTCTGACTTCACCAAGGTTTGAGGGTCTCCACGGTGCTTAGAGACCAAATTATCCTCAGTAGAAACCGATGCATCAGCTCAAAGCAGCTAGCCAGGTGATCATTACTGATACCTTTTACTACCTGGCTGGCATGACCCTCCACGCTATTTTTGTCTCACTGGCTGTCCATGATGGAATCAAACTGTAAATTGGTTGTCCCTTCAGCCATGTTCTTTTTTTAAATGATTCTGTATTGTTTACCCAAATCTGAGAGAAAATATTGTTCTGTTTAAAACAGTAGCTCTTATGAACTCCGTAATAGTACTTAAGTCTTGAGAAATGTGTTTGTAGAATCAGCCACTGCCTCTCTTTATCTTCATCTTTTAAAAATAGGATGTTGCTCCTGCTCCCGGGGCAGTAATTCACTCCATCCATGTTTATAACATGAGATGTAATCCAAAGTGAGTTGCTAGCTAGCGTGACAGACAGACCTGTTTGTTGTTTTGTCAGCTGATACATGGCTGTCACAGCCACCAGAGCGTTTTCAATCATCTCTGGGTTACAAGTCTCAGCAGGACTCTCCACTTGATTTCATTTATCATCAGCCTTGAATCATAACGGGCCTGTCACTTTCTCAGGCAGTGATAACCTACTTTAGATGCTCCCACACGCTACAGAATCAAATCTGTCCATCTGATGATTTGCTCTGGTCTTTCATCTCTAACGGCCTGCGACCGCAGCCCTGCGCACACACTGCATGCCCTCCGCCAAATAGAGGGGTCAAGTCATTTCAATCTAGGGTTTAATGTAACAGAGCAGCTCTGTGCATCAACAAATGATCACTGAAGATATCCAGTAGAGCACTGCTGCCCTCTGCTTGTGAGGAAGGACATCAAGTATGCAACCGCAGGGATGAGAAGGCTTGAAAAACTTGCCTTCAAAAAAAGGTAGACAACTGCCAACTTTATTGATAATGCATTCCGGTCTATTATCCCAGATAAAGAGGCTGGCAGAGACACAAGCATATTTGAGGATGAACTTGAAATGAAAAGTGAGAGAAGATGCCGGCTGCAGATCTGCGCGTGCCAACACATTAAAAGTTAAAATGGGCAGCAGAAATGTTGAGTTCGATAAATGCTAATAGAAAAGGCGATGCACTTTGGGCACCAGAGATCCAGTTTCCTGTTCTTTGCGATCCAGTTTTCTGCTGCTGGGTATTTGAACTTAAGGCATGTGCGCCGAGTCCAACCTAAAACCTTCACTGTGAAAACAAAATAGGGTTCTGTGTCTTTTGACCTGTTTAGGTCAGTTTATTCCCCTGATACTGCATTACAATCATGCGCTATTATCTATGGCTATATAATAATCTATGCCGTTTGTTTTCAGCTCCCTGCGGCGCCGTGTATTATCTGGTCTCTCAGCATGGCCTGTGGGCAGGGAGGTCTTTTTAAAAGTGCAGTCAATTCTCATGAAGACACACTGGAGAATATATCTGCTGCTGGCCTTATCATGGGAGGGGAGTTTGCTTTTAAATGAAGTGGGCACACTGCTGCTGCACTTGCCCTCCCTCATGTCTCGCTCTTTTGCTTTCAGCCCCACACACATGCTGCCACTATTCCCAAGGTGTCCCTATGGGAAGGATCTCAGCACTTTATCAAGTCCCTACTCCCTAGTGAGTCAAATTATGCTGTGCCATGACGTGCGTTTTCCTTTTTATGTTAATACTTTCTATCAGCAAAGTATGCGTCAGCATAAACTTCTCGCTCCCCCGCTCAAATTCCGATTACCACATTACCCAGACTTAAGCAGGATTAAGTCGAGGCGCCTTAAATGAACTTCACCTCATTCATGATACGAAAGGGCTCAATCATCCCAGAACAAGCAGAATCCATTATGTGCACCGTGTTATTTAAAGAGTTTTATTTGGTTGTGATGATGTAAGGAACAGTTCATCAGCGAAGTACACAGTCTGAGTCAGCAAATTGTATTGATTCATTTGTACTGAAAGGGGTTCAAGGTTGACATAATTGATTGTCACAAGTTTGGTGGTCATTAGGACTCCCAGAAGTGCAGGGAAGGACTTCAGCCGCATACTAATAGTTTATGTGAAAACAGTATAACAGTGATGATCCTGTTTGTTTGGTGACAACAAGGTAATATGCAGAAATAAAAGAGAACAGCAAAGTTTGAAGCTCAACACACTGCAACTTAAGAAAACACATGCCAAAAGCAAATTAATAAAATATCTTCACTGATTTCACACACATGCACAGCATTTAGAAAACTGAAGTGCTTGCAGAAATGCTGCAAGTAGCACAGACGACAACAGAAACTGTTTCCAGGGGATACTAAAAAGTGAAGAACATATTGTTGTCCCATCAAAAAACATACATTTTAACGCCCACTTAAGGATAGCCGACTTCAAACCATGAAAGTAACAAAAGAAATTGATTGGTCCTGCATTTTCTGACGAGATGTTGAAAAAGGGAAAGGAAAAAAATAACACTTGTAAAGCAGAAGAACAGATGCAGATGATTTGAGAGATTAAAATTATGAAAGAATTTTGGCTCCAAGTCAAGCTAATTGTGAAACCATAATCTAGATTATTGCAGCGCCTCCTTGAAGTCTGTGCCTGGAATTTGCAATTGTTTTTTTAGCAGAGAAAAATAATAAGAAATAATTTTCAGTGACATACTGATGGAGCCATTGGTGAGATCTCGTTTCCACAAACCTTCTCACAGCTTGAGGCAATGCCATCACTTGTGCAAAACTGGGGTATTTGTGTCTGTTTAAACAGCTGGAGATTAAATTCTGAACAAAAATAACTCTGCTTGTTTCAGGTGTATTGTCAAACCCGAATCCATGTAGCTGATTACATTTTGCATTTGCGGCGCACATATGAAGCAAAATGCACTTTAATGTGGAAGATTAGTGTCTCAAATTTCAGGTTAACATCTTAACGTCTTCATAAGTTATTGCAAAATGTTTGGAAATTAACGATTATGATTGTAAAATCAAAACAGATCTGGACATTTCTTTAACAGATTAGATCAGTGACATGTGAAGCCAATCCTGACAAAGTTTTGGGACAATTGGCCCAGCGGTTTCTGATGAGATGTTAAAATAGGTTTAGTGAGAAAAATTAGTGGAGCAAAGATAGAGATTTTGAGATTAACTTGATTGTTACAGCACCACATTGAGGTCAATGAAAGGCCAACTTTGGTTTCCCATTAAAGCCCCATTTGAATTGAATTGAACTGTGTGTCATTTTATGTGCAATGCACCAGCCAATTTTGGTAAGTTTTGGTCTTTTTGCAAACAGTGGAGCAAAAGAAATGTTAAATGGAATGTACTTATAGTGACTTTCTAGTCTTTTGAACACTCACGCTTTACATGTCACACTCACCCTATTCACACACATTCCACCACTATGCAAGGTGCCACAGTATAGTGTCTATATGATTTAACATTCAGAAAACAGCAAAATCCTGTCAACCAGATTCTGAAAAGTGTCATGGTGCTGAAAGGCCGAGAATCTAATTTATTTTCCAGCCAGAAGTGTGTATTCTCTTCTAGTAAAAAACCTGTATTTTTTGTTGGTTAATTAAGCTCTGGTGAAGTGTCTCTTCTCCTTTACCCGGACACTGCAGACTTTATATTTTGCCCAAAATGTCACTAACTCCCTTCTGGCTTGAACTCCTCTAATTAGCATTACTTTGCAATATTTAAAATGGCTTCACTTCTATCTGTCTCTCCTCTACAGGCTGTCCAATGCCCAGGGCATCAATATCCAAATTCTTGGCACTACCACTATTCTCATGATTGCCAATGTCACCGAAGAGGATTATGGGAACTATACCTGTGTGGCCTCGAACCGACTGGGTGTCCAGAATGCCAGTCTTTTCCTCTATAGTGAGTATTGACACTAATGCCATTTGCTGTAGCTCACGGTTTGAATCCAAGATGGAACGTTATTGTTTTATTATAAATATACAACTCCATATACTGTATGTACGTGTGCCACCTCTAGAGATTGTATACCTCACTACACACATCAATTATTAAGCATGAAATTTCAGGTTACAGTATAACATGGACCATGTTCGAACAAACATCTAAATCACTGTTTCAAGTTGAAGTCGAATGTCTTTGAGGTGTTATTCCTATTAATCTAATTTCCCATCAAATCCTTGAAAATCAGCAGGGAGGAAGCTCATTGTAGTTTTGGGTGAATTTCTTTAAGCTTCATTGTAAGAGCTAAACATTTGGAAGAAAAATGAGAACTAAGAGAACTAAGCTGCTACATAGTCAGTGTAGTAGTCATCAAACAGCATACTCAACTCTGCAAGACAGTAATTAAACCAAACCCTCAAGGAAATCCAGGAATATGGCTGGAAAGGGGAGGTGACATCTTTCAACACCCAAGTTAATGTTCTTAATTTCCATATTCAATTTGGTAGAGCAGAAGTGGAAGCTTTGCTTTGGTTTGTAACTTTGTAATCAGAGTGTAATATCCTGTTCCAAGTATCAAAGTAGTAAATATCAGTAATATTTATGTACAATGCGATGTATTACAGACCCACTGTATGTATGAGGTCAAATCAGTATCACAATAGAGAAAGAAAAAAAAAGAGATATGAGAGACAGTTGTGATTAGGACATGAATGTCATTATAGCTGTGCCACTAAAGGGCAGAAAAAATCTAAACAAGTTGACATGTCTCTTACTCATTAGGGTTACCATGTTGACAAACCATACTCATACACACCCAGCAGACACATGAGCAACATTTTCATTCAGTTGGAGTAAATATTCAGACTATTGGAACAGTCTACAACAATAATCTGCTCTCCTGATTTTGGCATTACAACTTTCACATAAGACAGACTTATTTTTTATTACCTGTTAATATCAAACAATTTTTTCCTTATTTAATTTACTCTTATAACACACCTTTCAGAGAGCCAACACAGCTGTTTCACTGAATTGCAAAAGGCAAAAAGCTGCTTGAACTGCTATAAAAAGTGCTTGAATTGCTATGATCCAGCTTTGAAGCCTGTTGCACTTCTCTTTGTGGAAAAAAACAAGAATAATGACGTTTGAATTGTTGAGCTAGAACAAAAATAAATGCACATACTGTACAGTAAATATGTAGCTCAACACACTGCAGCTTAAGAAAAGACATGCAAAGAGACAAAACAAATGTGAATTAAGAAAACACCTTCATCAATTTGACGAGCATTTAGAAAACAAAACAAAAGGTGAGAAAACTAAATACAGAAACTTTGCTAGGAAATGAGTTGCAAAACAGCTGAAATGACTTTGTTTTGTTTTAACATTCTGATTGCACGATGCAGATTTTACTTTACATACCAGTATTTGAATTGGTGGCCTAGTAATCAGCACAACATGGTTCTTAAGCATGGGGCATCAAAAGCACAAGATGGCCACCAGATGTCACCAAACACCTCTAAAAGACACTTGCAATGCATTTTGGTATATTTACTGACTCGGAGGAAGAGCATATGTATGTAAAGCATCAGAACAATTCATTTGTTGGTATTACTCTTCTGTCAAACTCCAAAATTGATAATTGGCATTGTTATAATTATAAAAATATCAGTATTATCTGTGTGAATGCTCAAGAAAACTAAAATTGTGTGTGTCCAATTATTTCTTCAATAGTTTTTTGAAGGTGGTCCGGTCTGAGTGAGGTCTCTGGCAGTGATTCTGACTACATTAACACACTCTCACTCTCTCTCTTTCCCTGTGTAGGACCCGGGACAGGTCGAGATATCAACGGCTCCGCCTGTGTATCTCAATCACTGTGGCTCCTGCTGGCCTGCTTCGCCTGCCTTTTCTTCAAGTGTTAATACCGCTGTCTTCCTCTTCCTTCTCCTCCCTACCGGCGCTCCCTCCTTCTCCTCCTCCTCCTCCTCCTCCTTCTCTCCAGCTCACCGACATCCTTATTGCTACCTTGTTACCAACTTTACTGCCCCCACCCCAGACTGTTTGCATCATGATACGAAAACCTTATGTGCTCTCGAGCACTGCTTACAGATATTACGAAAAAGCGATGGGTTATGAGTAAAATGAAAAACATAAAACAGTGAAATGAAGGACAAAACAAGCAAACAGTGCTCTTTTAAAGAATTGCATTGTTCTTATAAATTCGTATGCACTTCTTTGTTTCTGCTATATCTTGTCTTCAGGGTCTGGATCTGGTTTGGGATTTGTTGTATTTTTGTCCTCATGAGAATGAAAGCAGAGGCTCCCCGCTCACAGGGATGCCAACAATCATTCGTATCTAGAAGTACAGAGGACATAAGGTGTATTACTTCGTACTCCAATAGATGCATTATGTTAACTTCAATTGTAGATTTAACCAAGTGTTTAACCAGTGCATTAATGAGCAACATGCAAAGTATCTGCCAAATATCCATATGTAGATTTGAAACTAACACACAAAGAAATCAAAGGGAAAATACTGCAGCTGATTCTGTAATAAGATTAGAGCTTGATATTAAAGTCTGTAATGCCATAATCTGATGCTACTACTCTGAAACAAAGATACAGAGCATTAGCCGGAAATCTCTCCAGTCATTGACATTGTTTCTAGATGCAGCAGTCACTTGGGTTGTTGCCGTCCAGCCCAGAAATCGGGGATGCAGTGAATAAAATCGACATGTTCCTGCTGAGCTAAACCATGCGGAGTGCAAACCTGAAGAAATTAGTTTATCTGGGGTATGGATATCTACATCTTCATTCAGTGGCTTTGCAACCACTCGCCTTTATTCCAAAATAATTCTTCTTTTCTTTTGCAGCAGTAAAAGAAACACAGTAGGTTGTAATGATGCGTACTGTACATAGTAAAATTTTGTATTTCTCTATGATAAGACAACTTGTCGTGCCACTGTAACAACAGGAAACAGAGAAAATTGTTGCAGTGTATGTTGCTTGTTTGACAACCAACCAACCATACAGTGCAGTTTGTCTCTGCTCCACAGCAGGCTGCGCCGCATTTAGCTACATATACTGTACCACATACAGTGTTTGCTTTTAGTTAATAAGTTTTAGGATCATTCTTCTATACTGCTGGAATTTGGATAAAAATGTATGACACCAATGAATGACTTACTTTTTAGTTTCTCTCTTTCAAAGAAGTATGTGTGTTTTAATATGAAATGATACAGAAGAATTCATAATATATTGATATTGAGGGGGTTTTTTTCTGTCTTTACCTCATTCATTTTAGTTGTGTGTATATATATACTTGAATCCAATGTCCTTATACTTTATAGAAAGGCAAATTCCGTGTGTCCATATGTCTGAATGGGGTAGCAATTTGTTGAGAATGACGTCGTAGCAACCCTGCTCTATCATGTGAACCGAAGCCCATTAGATAACAATGTTTTTAAAAAAAGGTCTAGCAAAAAAAAGAAGATAGTTTTGTGCAGTTATTATTGTACCTATCTTTGAGAGTACTGACTTACATGATGTTATAGAGAATGGAATATTATATTTAGACTGTAATGCTCTTCTGTACACCTGGAATTCAAAGAGAGCAGCAAACAAATGAATACTGAATGTTTATTGCCGCTAAAGACCATCAAGGCCACTGTGCTGATGGGCCTTTTCAACAAAATGATACCTTTATGATACTAAAGCAAATTTTCTCATCACACCTCACCAAAAGATTACTGAATTTATTTCCTTATGAACAAAGTGGTTAAATGAATACTACATGTCAATATTTAGTAAAACACACAAGAAGAAGATCTTTCAAACAGTGCAAATCTTTCAGGAAACAGCTCAGAGATGAACTGCTGAAATCGGTGCACTATTAGCTGCCTTTTTTTGCCATTTATTTTGACCTACTGTAAGGTGACTAATCGCGTATGGACTCCAGCTCAGCTCCTCGACTGGATGTGTGTTCACGTCTCTGCTCTTCTAACAACCAAGCTGAGATAGTACTAGTACTGTAAAACACACAGTGTAATTAATGTCATCCTTGTCATGCATTAAAGAAATTGTTCCCAGTGTTTTCATCGTAAATGCTTCTGAGGCCGTGGCTGTGTGACTTTGTAGTGTTGGTGATGCCATCTGATCCAGTCTAATTTTCACGTGGTACAGCTGTGTAGAGAATGAGTTTTAAAGCTGAAGCATCTAAACAGTTAAAACAACATTTGTCTTGTCTCTATCAGTCACAACATAAACAATATCTTACAGTCAGAGTTCTCAGTCTAGGAAGTGATAAGAAAGCTGCTCGTATTTATGCTTTCATCATCTTAACCGGCTTTTTAAAATTTATTTCCTACGACTCTGGTGGATCCACTTTATCGTGGATGAACTTGACTCCTGGTGTTTTTCTACTGCACTGGTATTTCTGTAGACTCTTTTACCGCTTTTTAGCCTCTGGCTTGCCCATACTTGAGGATGCTTGTTTATCAGCAACAGTTATCTTCTTACTGTCGTAAGTGAATGATCTGGAAGCTGTGGTGGAATAGCTCTTCATGATCGGTTTGCATGAGAGTGATCTGTGCTACATGTCTATTTCAGTAAGTCCGTCTGTCTCGCATAAAAGAAAACCTCAGGGCAGAGCAAAGCTGGCCTTGGGTAGACTCTCAAACTAACTAAAATGTGTTTAAAATTTAAAATGTGTGTTTTTCTTTTCTTTTCTTTTTGCTGGAGGAGACCCTGACAGACCAGAACAAGGTCAAATACCTCCAAATTTTAACCTGCTTGGAATGCATGATTCACTGCATCCAGGCAAACAGCGTGAGGGATCTTATTTTAAAGGATGCTACAATAAATTGCCTGTCATTGTCTAAACTTTGTAACGTTTGGGTGATTTTCACATAAACCTCACCAATGTGGATGTCCAAGTGTGTCCATGCAGGTTAAAACCAGCCAATAAGCACTGAGTGATACTAAGACCACTTACGTAAAAGCCATCAAGCTCTGTCTTAACCTTGAAGCAGAAAGGAATAAAGAATGCTGTCCTTCCATTGCTCATACTGTAGAGACCAAGAGCCAGCCTAAGGACAGAGCACCAACCCCCTGTAGACAGACCTGGATATCTACTGAAGACTGTAGACACAGTTATCTAGTTTACGATTGATCATTGCCTAAAAACATCTCCATCGCTTCACTGTTGGCTTTTGTATGTGCGCGTGTGTACTCTGATGATTCTGATTCTGTTCATTATTATTAACCTGAGAAGTTAACGTGAGGCATGAGATACATGAGGAGTTGGCCAAACAGCTAACTTTCTACTTTCTGTTGATGGGTGGTAACCCTCTATTTAGAGATTCTTTTTTTCTCTCACTCTCTTTTCCTCCTCTGTGTGTATATAAAGTATGATGTTTCTACAGTAGAATGTTGTAAAGTCAGCAAATCCATAAGATCGTGTTTATACAATTCAACGTTTAAAACTTAAAAACAAGCAAATGTAACTATCAAGTTTGTATGTCCCTGGAAGGGGAATTAAGATTCAATCATGGATTATGACACAGCAATGTCCCGTTTTTTTTTTTTTTTTTTACTTTACTTTATTATGGCATAAGGTGATTGCAGTCAGTTTCTAAAAAAAAGATATGTAATAAAGGTATATGAGAAAATGTTCATAACACAAAATAAAGTTGTTTGAATTCAATGTTCCGTATTTGAATGTGACTTGAGATGTCGGGGAGCTTAACCTTTTTTTTGGGAGATAGCTTGGAACACACGGAATCTCACTGGTACTGTTGTGTTTATCACCATGTAACTTGCAAATAAAATAATATATGTATTGTTACATTTCCTCTGGAAGACATTTTTGTCCTCGCCAAGTGTGAGAAATACAACTGAGATCCAGCTCGTCACCAAGGGAATGTTCCAGTTTTTTGTGCCAAAGGTGAGAGGTAAGACTGGCTCTTTACGCCGCATCACTGCCATGAAGTGCTGCAGTAAAATGTTTTAACCACAAGGTGTCATAACAAACCAAATTATGCCCCCACTGTGTTGAGGACACAAACACACCATTCTGCATCCTTATTAGCCTCTGACTCTGAAGATGAACAGGGAATGGAGCAGTGTCAAAGGTTAGAAAAACAAGCCTGTAGCTGCCAAGTTTCCAGCTCAAACCCCCACACCAGCTGGGAAAATGTGGGCAGTGAAAGGCCAGTATTTTATATATACCATAAGTGTTTTCATCCAGAGAGACTGGATGCAACAGTAAAAAAAAGACAAAAAATGAAGGGGTGAGATCAACTTTAGTCCTTCAAATAGAGAGATTTGAGAAAGGAATTGTGACAGGAATTACTTAAAGATGAGAGTATATGAAGGGAGGAAGGTATGGGAGAGTGTATGACTCAGAGGGGAGAGGGCGATAAAAGAAAGTTTTGAGAAGAAGTATTCTCATTCCAGGACTGCTTAGTTCAGCAAACCAGCTTCATTAGTGTGAAGGTCACACCACTTCTGTGAGACTGAGGTTGGTATTTATGTACATCATGGTGCCGTTATTATTTATTTCATTTTTACTTAACCTTTCTATCTTGACAGAAGTCCCATGGGTTCCATTTCAACTCATTTGCTCTTGCATAATTTTACTGTTGTGTCCAGTATAATAGGGTAGGGTCGATTATCTCATTCTGATATTAGAGATATACAGCAGATTAACTATTCAAAATCAATCAAGTGTGTTACATGCACACTAGTATCTAGGTGTTTGGAGTACTTTTAGAAACCTGGATGGTGGCTGGAGTACTTTGATAGAAACCGGGATACTGTGGTACCTGAGCTTCTGATCTGTCTCTGTGTGCATAAATGACTGACTGCGATGTTGAGGAATTGAGACACAGAGATGATCAGAAATATAACTGGATTTCTCATGTTTCCGAAATTAGATCAAAACCAGCATACTAGTGTGAATGTCTAAAACAATAGTTACTTAGGTTTTGCAAATAATTAGCTAAATTTGCTAATGATTTAAAAGAAATTTGTTGTAAGATGTTGACATCTGATGTTCAGTGAATACTTTAATCCTACAAAGTCTTGTCTTTACTCATCCCTTTCTGTACAGATTAAACAAACAAGATTATGTTTTACCACACCGCCAGGTAAGCTGTTTCCCCATTTCCAGTCTGTAGCTAAGTTATGGCTGTACATGAACATGGCTTTAAACAAACTCCACAGTTTATGATGGTAATTGGCACATTTGCTTTATTTTGAAAACAGACATTGAAACCATTTTTATTTTTTCATGTTTTTTTCTCACAAGTTTGAACTCCTTGATAAGGTTGAAACTGGACATTGCACTCACTGGAACATGGGAAAAGTATTTTTTGTTTGCTTGATTTGTTTGATTTTTCTTTTTTTTCGTAACATCAGTGCAAGAGTATTTTTCCAATTCATATAAACTGTCATAACAACACCAAAGACATCAAAAAGAAGCCGCCACACCTCTTAAGTTTTTGTGACTGCGAAAAAGTTCCTCTCAGGGGGAGAGTTCCCATCATGCATCTGGTTCGATGGTTCATGCTACTGTTCTCACGTTTGGTTGGCAGAACACAAATCGTCAAGTAAGAGCCAGTTACATCAATACCATAGCTGATTTCTATAGTTTATTATATGATCATGTCATTTAAATGGCAACAGGTCCTTTACTGTATATGTGAGTAAACAGAGAGTTTGTAAAAGGGGTGTAAACCAAGCTTGAATGACTCAAGCAGAATAGAGAGAGAGTAATAGTCTTGTACTATATGTGGTTTTTGGATTCAGAATATAGCTGCCCAACTAGAAAAGTCACACATTTAATTATACATTCTATTCTCCATCCGATGTGTCAGTATATCACCTATTTGCTATGTTCTCAATACACTTGTACTGTGTTGAAAACTAGAGTTGCATTTTAAAACCAGCTTGTTTTTGTGCGTGCATTTGCAGAAATACAGATTTTATTTGCAAAATGTGTTTAAGGAAAGTGCATTGCAATGCAGATCAAGTATGGTGCATTCACAATGCGTTTTAAATGTGTAAATATCCAGTTGGGAGCATTCCTTCCACAATTCCTTCACAATAGACAGTGAAGATGCACCAAATGAAATCCTCCTCCTCCTCCTCCTCCTCCTCTCGTCATCATCATCACCGTCGGCATCATCATCAAGGTAACAATCAATTTTCATAATCAACAACAACATCATCAACATCATCATCACTTCCTCATAGTATTAGCTTGAGCCAAAAAACTTCACGCTGGAAACTCCCCCAACATGAGAAAATCATTGCCACACAAAAAATGACAAACAAATAGAAACGGACTGCCTTCACATTGGGAAGGCAAAGAGCAACCTTTTTAGATTTTTGTTTTTGTGTTATTCTTCATACTCTTAATTCTGCTTTCTTTAGGTTAAGCTTTGCCTTAGTCATCCTTGGACTCGGTGGCCTCTGCCGCTGCGTCTGCCGGGGTGGCCTCCTCTGCTTTAGACTCCTCTGCAGCATCTGGGTGGAGGGAGGGAGGCAGGGAGGATGAAGGGTAAAGAGAGAAAAAGGCAAAGCGAGAGGAGGAAAATCAGATGTAAGAGAAGGGGGATATGATAGATAAATGGTGGGTTGGAGAGAGGAAGAGAGAGAATTAGCCTGTGGAGAGGAGATTTTACAATGTAAGGCTGGAATAATGATGCTCTATCTGGGTCTTCTGAGATACTGAGCATCAAAGATTTTACGTGTCAGCTGATACTTTTGACTTTTTAAATATTTCACCTCAGAAGGTTCTCTGTGTAACAACATCCATAGGTTAAAATTAAAAAAGCATAACAAAAAATATAACAGGAGATACTATGTAATTCCATGTTGTTCACAAGATGTCAACTCTACTAAATCTGAGAGCATGTGAGTTAGAAGATGGAGCCTAAAGTCTTAAATCCCACATTGGCTGTGTAAATAATAAAGGAAAAGAGTGCTCCTAATGGACCCATGAAGCATTTGAACTGACATCACAACGCTAACAGTAGCATCTCGGCCTGTCACATCTGATACCCTGTGATGCCCACAGTGTAATGCACTATAACAACATCCAGTGGTGGTTTACTAAGAGGTGAATACTGCTGAATAACAATTAATGATAAATCGCTAAGCCATAACTAATGGTGTTTGTTGAGGAACATTGCACTGATGGTTTATATTTTTCTTTGCATTACCCTATTCTGCCTATGCTGTATGCTACTTTACTGCTAAAAATATGGCAATTATATCTATCAATTGTCTATAAAAAATATATATATATATATGTCCTTGTCACGCAGTAGATGGACCTTTATTTTAATGTTTCTGACCAAGCCTTTTATTCAAGTGCCCTGAGAGCGGTGATGTCATACCACGATGATCTCATATTCTTTTAATAGAAAGACTTCAAAGAATGACATCATTGCCTGGGAGATTGGGGTGATGGAGTGCGTGTGTGTGAGAGTGTCTGTGAGGGCGAGGCAGAGAGAGAGACAGAGAAGTGGGGCGATCATGTCTGTGTTAGTGCTTGTACTAAAACTGTGTGTGGGCGTGTGTGTGTGTGTGTGTGTGTGTGTGTGTGTGTGTGTGTGTGTGTGTGTGTGTGACTCAAGGCAGCATGATCTTACCAGGTAAGAGGCAATTAGCTTGTTACCCAGTATGACAGACTTGAGAATGTATTTTTCTACAGCCACTGAACTGTGTGATGCAAATGCAATTTAACCCAAATCACAGAGCCAAAGCCCGTCATTTCTAGTAGTCTGATATCAGTGCCATCGCCGTTAACTACACCAGCGATGACTCAAATGTAGGTTTAGTTTTGCTGATGCATTTGCAAATAAGAATTCATATACGGAAAAACAAACTCCCAAACTCTGGTGGTCTTTGTTGCGGTTTGCCGAATCTGCCCACTGATTTTATTGAAGTTTTCAGTAAACAATGTTAATGAGAGCATGACGCATTGTTTATCGTGGAAATTATAACTCGGATATAAAGTAGATGCACATAATCTTCTTTTTCCAACTTCCACTTACATTTGTAATTTTTCAAAAGTTCTTGTGCTAGAGGACTACATGGAGAGCCACAAGGTTTTGTCCTGGATTCGTTACTTCTCAATCTTTGTTACCACTATGTGTCAGCACAGTATTGATTTTCACTGCTATGCAGATGACACCAAACACTATATAGCTGTTGATCTTGATGACCTGAGCCCTCTTTACTCCGTTGAGAACAGCATCTTTGATATTAAATGATAAATGACTCAAAATTTCCACCAAATTAATTCACATCAAAACAGAGGTCCTCGTTATTGGTTGAAAAGAGGAAAAGGAAAAAATGTGCCTACAGTTTACTACACAATACAAGAGGGCTGACCACAGGCAATGTACCTATAATCTATAGCACATACAGAATAGGTTTTAACTGGTTCAAAGAAAATTGATCACATCTCTTCACTGGTTCAAGATTCATGTACCTGTCTATAAATGTATTTCTGGACCCTGATTGTGTGATATTGTATGACACGTATTCCCTCAGATTTATAGACACAGTGACTAAGACAAAGGACTCATGGTGGATTTTGGACCCAAACTGTGTGACTTGTTAAAAGTCTTGTTTGAACTCACCTTTTCTGCTTTGATTTCACCTAGAATCTGTTTATACCTCTTCACTGACATCTCTGGAACATGTCCACTACAGCTTAATTTTAGAAGATTACAATTATTGAAAATATGATGGTGGAAGTAATTATTGTATGGTCATTGCTGTTGTTTGTTTTCTTTTTATT